CTACATGGAAGAGTTTAACAGGCAGTGTCGCCCGGGAAATTCTGCATGTAGTAGTAAAATTGCTTGTAGGTGGGTGGGCAAGGGGTTGTAAAAATGTGGAACGACCTCCTGTTTTTTTACCACGCCCTGGCCACTTGTGTGACAGGAGCCTTACTTTTTAATTTTATACAATTATTATAGCTTTATATTAGTTTCATACTATAATTCAAAGTGATTACAAAAGTTTCTGTTCCTAGATTGTAAACTCGAAAGAGCAGGGCCCTCAAACCCCTCGTGTATTGTTTTGTTACTGTATTGTCTCATGTACTGTCCCCCACTATAATGTACAGCGCTGAGCAAACTTTTTGGCGCTATATAAATACTGTATTATAATAATAATAATAAAATAATTTATCAATGTACACAGGTTGTGCGTCCAATCCTTCTGTACTCCCCCCTTACACATGCCGGCAGTTCTTGACTGTCATTTGGACAATCAGGAGTTTCTGGGAAAATACAGCAGCTGCAATAGCTGCTGCTGTCATAAAACAGACTGTTGGGACAGTGTTTATAAACACTGCTTAGATGCCAGAGAGATACTAAGTAACATTGTTTTTCTATTTCATTCATCTGCAGATCAGGGATAAGCGTCAATCTTCATTTGCTATCAGTTAGAGCGACCTGACAAGTTATTTTTTTATTTATTAAATGTGTTTCACTTGCCCTCCAGAGGATTTCTGACCAGGCCCCCTTCCTGACCAGGCCATTGCTTGCGCTACAGTGCTGTGTTACTTTAACTGACAATTGTGTGGTCATGCAATGCTGCACCCAAATGAAATGTACGTCCTTTTTTTCTCACAAATTGAGCTTTCTTTCAGTGGTACTCATGCTCTTCCTTCCTATTAGCATGTTGTCAACATATTTGCATACAACAAACTTAACTGACCCACAGTCCTGTCTCTCCCTCTCCTAGTGTGAATGCTGAGTTAACCACTTGCCCTCCTGAGGATTTACCCCACTTCCTGACCAGGCCATTTTTTGCGATACAGCGCTGCGTTACTTTAACTGACGAATGCGTGGTCATGCAATGCTGCACCCAAATGAAATTTACGTCCTTTTTTTCCCACAAATTGAGCTTTCTTTCGGTGGTATTTGATTGCCTGTGCATTTTTTATTTTTTGTGCTATAAAAAAAACAAACAACAACAATTTTGAGAAAAAAACTATATTTTTGACTTTTTGCTATTAAACATGTTCAGTAAAAAAATTAAAAAAATAAATTTTGGTCATAATTTTAGGCCAAAATGTATTCTGCTACATGTCTTTGCTAAAAAAAAAATGCCAATACGTGTAAATTAATTGGTTTACGTGAAAGTTTTAGCGTCTACAAATGGCAGTATACGGTTGTGCTCACAAGTTTGCATTCCCTGGCAGAAATTGTGAAATATTGGCATTGATATTGAAAATATGACTGATCATGCCCTCAAATGCTCTTTTATTGAAGGATGATGATCATATGAAGCCATTTATTATCAAATAGTTGTTTGGCTCCTTTTTAAATCATAATGATAACAGAAATCACCCAAATGGTCATGATCAAAAGTTTACATACCCTGTAATGTTTGGGCTTGGTACAGACACACAAGGTGACACACACGGGTTAAAATGCCAATTAGAGGTTAATGTCCCACATCTGTGGCTCTTTAAATTCCAATTAGTGTCAGTGTATAAATAGTCAATGAGTTTGTTAGCTCTTATGTGGAAGCACTGACTAGGCTAGATACTGAGCCATGGGGATCAGAAAAGAACTGTCAAAAGTCTTGCGTAACAAGGTAATGGAACTTTATAAAGATGGAAAAGGACATATAAAGATGTCCAAAGCCTTGAATATGCCAATCAGTACTGTAAAATCACCTATTAAGAAGTGCAAAGTTCAGGGATCTCTTGATACCAAGCCAAGGTCAGGTAGACCAAGAAAGATTGCAGCCATAACTGACAGAAGAATTGTCTGGGATTCAAAGAAAAACCCACAGGCAACCTCAAAAGAAAAACAGGCTGCTCTGGAAAAAGATGGTGTGGTTGTTTTTAAGGAGTACAATACGGTGATACTTGAACAAAAATGAGCTGTTTGGTCGGGGTGTCAGAAAGAAGCTTTTTTGCCTGACAACACCTTGACATGCCTAACCAGGTCTTTTTGTGTCATTGATGCAGTAAAGGCTTCTTTCTGGCACCTCGACCATGCAGCTCATTTTTTTTCAAGTGTCATCATATTGTGCTCCTTCAAAACAACCACAATGTCTTTTTCCAGCCTGTATTTTTCTTGTGGTTACCTATGGGTTTCCCTTTGTATCCCGAACAATTCTTCTGGCAGTTATGGCTGCAATCTTTCTTGGTCTACCTGTACTTGGCTTGGTATCAAGAGAGCCCCAAACTTTCCACTTCTTAATAGGTGATTTAACAGTACTGATTGGCATATTCAAGGCTTTGGATATCTTTTTATATCCTTTTTCATCTTTATATGGCTCCATTACCTTGTTACGCAGGACTTTTGACAGTTCTTTTCTGATCCCCATGGCTCAGTATCTAGCCTAGTCAGTACTTCCACATAAGAGCTAACAAACTCATTGACTATTTATACACTGACACTAATTGCAATATAAAGAGCCACAGATGTGGGACATTAACCTCTAATTGGCATTTTAACCCGTGTGTGTCACCTTATGTATCTGTACCAAGGCCAAACATTCCAGGGTATGTAAACTTTTGATCATGGCCATTTGGGTGATTTCTGTTATCATTATGATTTAAAAAGGAGCCAAACAACTATTTGATAATAAATGGCTTCATATGATCATCATCCTTCAATAAAAGAGCATTTTTTGGCATGATCAGTCATATTTTCAATATCAATGCCAAAACTTCACAATTTCTGCCAGGGTATGCAAACGTTTGAGCACAACTGTATATACTGAAATTTATTTATTTTTTTTTTAAATTTTTACTAGTAATGGCGGCGATTCAGACAGGGGGGGGGGGCGATTACTGACTTGGTGTCACTGACATCCCCAGTGACACCAAACTGTACAGTGAGCAGTGCTAAAAAAAAAGCACTGACACTGTACTAAGGGCACTGGGCAGGAAGGAATTTACATGAGGGGCGATTAAAGGGTTAACTGCGTGCTGTGTGCTGTTTTACTTGTGTCTGAGCTTCACTGTAATCACACTGCTTTGCATGACTTTGCTCTGCACAGCCATCAAAAGCAGTGTGCACAAGCTGACATGGAGAAAAGGCTGTATTGTTTACATATAGTTCTCCTCCTTAAAGAAAGCTGTCGGAGATGCTCAGCAATCACCAGGCGCCAGAGAGTAATCACCAGCTGGGACCCGGGGATTGACAGCCGCAGCCTCACATGTGCCCCCTACCCGGAAATGCAAAATCACGTGTATAATATATATATATATATATATATATACGTGATTATGCGCACACACCCCGTTAAAGACTCACCACTTCGTGAAGAAACAGAGGTTTACAGGTGCTTCTCCATCCAGGTATTGATAAAACTCCTGTGGATGTACCGAGCAGCAATCAAGGCATAATAAGCAACCAATTATGGCAGCTTTTAAAATTGCCGCCCTGTAGCAGTACATCTGCTATAGGGCAGTCAGGAAGTGGTTAACTTGGCAGTTGTTCATGATACACTCATCTAACTGGGGTTTAGATCTACTTTAAAGTGGTTTTAAAGGCTCGGCTCGAGGTTTTTTACCTTCATGCATATAAGCCTTCCTTGTGCAGCACCCCCCCCCAGCCCCCTAATACTCACCTAAGCCCCTCTCGATCCAGCGATGTGCACTGGAGTCTCGGCTATCCCAGGACTCCCCCCCCCAGCCCCCTAATACTCACCTCCCCTCATTGCCTGAGACAGAAGCGAGAGCCATTGGTGTCAATCACAGCCAGTGAGCCAAAGAGCAGGGGGGGTGAGGCCGAGCCGCAGCTCTGTGCGTGAATGGATACATGGAGCAATGGGTGCCCCCATAGCAAGCTGCTTGCTGTGGGGGCACCCAACAGGAGGGAATGAGCCAGGAGCGCCGGCGGGGGACCCGAAAAGAGGAGGATCCAGGCTGCTCTGTGCAAAACCACTGCAGAGAGCAGGTAAGTATAATATGTTTATTATTTAAAAAAAAAGAATAGAATCACTTTAAAGTAGAACTAAAGTCTCCTTGGTGATTTTTACCTACAGGTAAGATTTATAAAATGAATATCGTGTACTGTTTAGGAAACATTCACTCCTTTAGCAGCTGGTGACGTCACCAGCACATGCGCTTTGAAGGAACGTCATTCACATGCGCAGGAGTGACGTCATCACGGCTCAGCCATTCAAGCTGCCTGAGCCCATGGACCCGGAAGGAAGACCAGTGAAGATGGAAGCCCTGTCAGACAATGCAGCGCTGGAAAGCTTAGTTTTAAAGTACCGTATTTTTCGCACCATAAGACGCACTTTTTTCCCCCCAAAAAAGGGGGGAAAATGTCAGTGCGTCTTATGGAGCGAATATGGAGCGGCCGGTCCGGTATTTCCACTGCCGCCGTGTCAGAATACCGGGCCGGCCGCTCAGCTCTACAGCGGGACCTTATAGAGATGACTGCTAACCTTTGGGGAGGGGGGGGAGCGGGTACCTGAATTTGACAGATACCCGCTCCCACTTCCGTGGAGTTGTTCTTTCATCTTACCCGTTCCTCTATCCAGCGGCGTGCTGTCTTCCCGGCTTCTGTAGTGTGGGCATGACAGCCGGGTGCCAAGTGTGCATGCGCAGGAAGCGGTGCTTTTTGTGAATGGTAAGGCGGCACCTGGGACACATGACAGATCCCAGAAGCCGCCGGACCAATCACAAAGCGCAAGTGCTTCTCGCTCATGTGCACTGGGCACCCGGCTGTCATGCCGAGCGCCATTACAGAAGCCGGTAAGACAGCGCGTGGCTGGATAGAGGAACAGGTAAGATGAAAGAACAACTACGCAGTGTCCACAGTCTGTCCGCAGTGGTCATCATCTCCTGCACTGTGGCCGCTGTGTCCGCAGTCTCTGGTCAGTCTCAGTGGTCATCTCCTCCTGCACTGTGGCAGTCTCTGGTCATCCCTGTCTCTGGTCATCTCCTGCACTGTGTCCGCAGTCTCTGGTCATCTCCTGCACTGTGTCCGCAGTCTCTGGTCATCTCCTGCACTGTGTCCGCAGTGGTCATCTCCTGCACTGTGTCCGCAGTCTCTGGTCATCTCCTGTACTGTGGCCAGCAGAGGTCCTGGTCATCTCCTGTACTATGTCTGCAGTCCATTAGTTCAGAATTTTTTTTCCTGTTTTCTGCCTCTAAAACCTAGGTGCGTCTTATGGTCAGGTGCGTCTTATGGAGCGAAAAATACGGTAAGTATTTTGTATTTCAATGTGATGCATACTTGCACATTATGCCATTGCTTTGCAGGGGATTTTTTTGTCGTGGTTTACTATCACTTCAAACCTCACCTACTCTTTGTTAACAGGGAGCCCCTACACAACAAAAAAAATGATATGGTGTTCCACCCTAATTCATACCAGACCCCTCAGGTCTTGGATACATTTTAAGGGGGACCTCATGCAAAACAAAACAATGTACATCCACTGCCAATCATTGTCCAGTCCTGTAAATGTAAATCAGTTTGAATCACAAGTGCTGTCTCTTCATTCCTGCCCAAAACAGGTGCAGCAGATGATAGCGGATATATACAAAGGGGTGAGGTCTCCCAGGTGATGTCATTGACCATATGGTCAATGAGGTCACCACCTGGGAAACCACATATTGGCTGTCATCCACCAAACCTGTCATTCAATGGAAGTAAAGCAATCAGTCAGGACATGATTTTTTTTTTTTTCAGCAAGTCAGCAGGCAGCCTGCAGATCCAGCCATGTAGATGATTCATGATGTTTCATGAATGACATGGATCTACACGCCTGGATGATGTGATTGATGGTGGATGTACGTTTTGTTAAAAATGATCCCTGTGTTTCTTTTTTTACTATTTAAATTTTTGTGAGTAAATAGGGGTATTATGTACCCCTTACTCATTTACATGGGAGGACAGTACATAGAGGTCTCCAAATTGTTAAAGGTGGCTTCCAGATTCTCATAAGCCCTCCCACCTGGAGACCTCCACAACCATTGAGCCAGGTTTGAGAAGAAGCTGCCCTTGTCCTCCTCAACATTGGGACAAGATGCTTTGCCAGGGGAATCCCCTGGTACCCCCCACATTGAAGGTATTTGACCTGGTTTGGATCAGGAGGGGGCTGCACGTTTCCCTGACCTACCAGGCTGCATGCTCAGATAAAGATCTGGTATGAAATATTTTGGGGGAAGACCCTCACACTTTTTTTCTTTGATTTTTGTATGGGATTCCCCCATTATAATCCATTCCTTAAAGAAATTTGGTGGTGCTCACACTTTTTCTTGTTAATTTTGCATGGGTTTACCCTTAAATTTCATACCAAACCTGAAGGGCCTGGTACAAATCATGGGGGGAACCTCCAAACAGTTTTTTTTAAACTATCCCAGCTTAATTGCTTAAATGGCCTGAGATTAACTGTAGCTAAAATCTCAAAAGTAGTGTTTTTGCAATAGTTACCGATTTCCGGCTGCCCTATAGCAGAACTACTGCTACAGGGGGTAGGGCTGTACAAAATCACGTATATATACGTGATTTTGCATTTCCGGGTAGGGGGCGCACGTGCACACACGTGCCGCCCTACCCGCACTGCCATTGGTGGCTACAGATGTCGATCACCGAGTCCCAGCTGGAGATTCCCCGCCAGCACCCGATTGCTGAGCATCACTAACAGGGGAGAGACCTGTCTCTCTCCTGCCAGCAGTAACATGCTGCTGTGTATTTCTCTGTAGAGCAGAGAAACACACAGCAGTATGTTTCACTAGTAAAACACACAGCACATACAGTAAAACAGCACACAGTTAACCCTTTGATCGTCCCATATGTTAACCCCTTCCTGCCCAGTGTCACTAGTACAGTGTCAGTGCTTTTTATTAGCACTAATCACTGTATTAGTGTCACTGGGGATGGCAGTTAGTCAGTTCCCCCCCAGTGTCAGAATGCCCGCCGCAGTTCGGCAATCTCGCTATAAGTCGCTGATTGTCGCCATTACTAGTATAGAAAAAAAAAATCCCAGTATATATACCGCCATTTGTAAATGCTATAACTTTCAAGCAAACCAATTAATTTATATGTATTGGGATTTTTTTTAGCAAATACATGTAGCAGAATACATTCTGGCCTAAATTTATGACAAAAACTGATTTTTTGCATTCTTTTTACTGGACATGTTTTAAAGCAAAAAGTAAAAAATATTGGTTTTTTTTTCCAACATTGTCTGTATTTCTTTGTCTATAGCGTAAAAAATAAAAACCTCACAGGTGATCAAATAGCACCGAAAGAAAGCTCTATTTGTGGGAGAAAAAGGACAAAAATGTTATTTATGTACAGCCTTGCATGACCGCGCAATTGTCAGTTGAAGTAACACAGCGCCATATCGCAAAAAAGTGACCTTGTCAGGAAAGGGGGTAAATCCTCGGCAGGGCAGGTGGTTAATAATGACACTAAGCACCTATTTGTCTGTTTTGAGGAAATTGCTGTCAGATTTTTCTGCTAAACTGCAGCTGATTGCCCAGGATTGTAAGTGTTACAAACATACACAAACTATTCACAAAATCAAAAGTGCATTTACACAATAGACCTCAGCAGGGGGCGGACTGACAACTCATGGGGCCCCCGGGCAATAGAGGATCAAGGGGCCCCTGTGTCCTTGCCCAAACTCAAAAAAGCCTATGAAAAAGGTACCAGGGGCATCTCATGGGGCCCCCTACTGACCCCGGGCCCTCGGGCAGTGCCCGAGTTTCCAAATGGTTAGTCCGCCCCTGGACCTCAGTGATTGTGTTTGGTTGTTTGGTAAATCTGTGCTTGTATAGAGGTTGTTGATGTGAACATCTCTTAAACAAACAGCAGATGGAGCCATGCACATATAATGGCCATGCTGTGGTCTTAGGAAAATGCGGTTAGGTTTCCTGTAGTGGAATTGATGCAGTGGGCCCAAGGTGCTCATTATACCTATTTCATCTTCTATATGTAAATCCATCCATTCTATTAAACACGGTACATTGTGGGGCTGACCCAAGGAAACCTTAGGGTGCACAGTGATTTAGGTGAGCGGTGATTAGAGCAGGCATGACTGCAATGAGGTCTCTGAAGTGGTATTATGAGCGCAATGTTCTGCTGAATGTTCTGCGCTCTATGCAATGTTCTGTTGTGTGACATATGCTGGATGCAATACTCTGCTTCTGAGCTATACTAGGTGCCATATTCTGTGAAATGTTGCAGTGTCAGGGATGGTGACTTGATTTGGCAGGGATGGCGACTTTTATTTTCTGCATTATGAAGTATGCTGGACGCAAATTTAATATTCGCTAGTACAAGATGTTCTGAATGCAATGTCCTTCCATTTTGAGTGCTTGGTGTGAAATGTTCTGTGCTCTGAGGTGTACTGGGTGCAATGCTCTGCAGGATGTTGTGTGCCTTGTATTATTTTTGAATTAATATGTACTGACAGGGCTTTTTTTCAATGGGAACGCCAGATAGTGCAGTTCCGGCACCTCGAGCATTGAATGTATGTCATGGCAAGAGGTGATAGGGGGTGATGGAGGATCTATTGATGCTGGTTGCTGGGGGGTCCATTGTTGGAGAGGTCTGTTGTTGCTGGTGGGAGATCTATTCTTGTTGGGGGGTTATCTTTTGTTGCTGAGAGGGACCTACTGTTGAGGGAGGGGTCTATTGTTGCAGGCTGCTGGAGGGTCTATTGATGCTGGCTGCTAGGGGATCTATTGTTGCTGGGTGGGTCTTTCTTGTTGGGGTGGAGCTATTGTTGCTGGGGAGATTTTTGTTGCTGGGGTCTATCTTTGCTGGGGGGATCCATTGTTGCTGGGGTGGTCCATTGTTGGAGAGGTCTGTTGTTGCTGGTGGGGGATCTATTCTTGCGGGGGGGTTAACTTATGTTGCTGAGAGGGACCTACTGTTGAGGGAGGGGTCTATTGTTGCAGGCTGCTGGAGGATCTATTGATATTGGCTGCTGGGGGATATATTGTTGCTGGGTGGGTCTTTCTTGTTGGGGTGGAGCTATTGTTGCGGGGGGCCATTTTATTGAAGGGGTCTATCTTTGCTGGGGGGATCTATTGTTGCTGAGGGGTCCATTGTTGGAGAGGTCTGTTGTTGCTGGTGGTTGATCTATCCTTGCTGGGGGTTCTCTTATGTTGCTGATAGGAACCTACTGTTAAGGGAGGGGTCTATTGTTGCAGGCTGCTGGAGGGTCTATTAATGTTGGCTGCTGGGAGCTCTATTGTTGTTGGGTGGGTATTTGTTTCTGGAGTGGTGCTATTGTTGCTGGGGGGTATTTTGTTACTGGGGTCTATCTTTGCTGGGGGGATCTATTGTTGTTGGGGGGTATTTTGTTATGGAGGTCTATTGTTGCTGAGGGTGGTGTATAGTTGCTGGCTGCAGGTGATCTAATTTACTGAATTATTGTTATTATTAACACATTCCATACAAATTTCCTAGCACCACAAAATGATACTTGGTTGTGTATTCTCTAAAAAGTACTGGGAGGTGGGTAGGGCGAGGAACCAGGGGGCAGTGCTCGGAGGTGGGTAGGTAGGGGGCAGGGACAAGAGGCGACTAGGAGAGGGGAATTCCTGCACCTATTCTCCAAAAAAAAAAAGCCCTGTGTGCTGGGCAGAAGAATCTGAAGATTGAGAGGATTTGTTTACAAAATTGTGCAATATATTGAATGCTTGGCGCAGTATTCTGCAGTGTAACGTACCAGATCTATGTGGTGTGTGATTTGTCCGGAGCAATGTACTTTGGTAATGTGGGGTGTACCAGATACAGAGTTCTGCAGATGAAGTTGTGCTTGGTATAATGTACTGCAGGATGAGATGCATTGGTCGTAATAATGTGCAATCCTGTATCATGCAATTAAAAATGTTTAGGGTCCCATCTTTGCTCCAATTCCCAAAGTGTCTCTTTTACCCCACTGCAAAGCTGGCCTTGAAAACCCAAGCACAAGCTGAAGTCCTATTGCTCACTAGGGGCATTATAATACTGAGGCTTGCTTACTGTAGCTACCCCACCTCCTATTAAACCATGCCCAGCCTTTGGCATACTGAACTTTGTGCGCCAGTTCCATACTGCCCTAATGCCTTTATCTCTTAGGGTCACATCTCTATGTAATACTTCTAGTTGCA